TTAAGGAAGCCTTTTGTATTACACTTCAGAGTGTGGAAGACATCTTTGGGAATGCTTCATGTATTCAGCTACGTTCATAGACTTACTCATGATATAATATTTTTGGAAATAGAGTATCCTAACAGGCTTTATAAAAGAATGACAACATCCACCTAGAAAGATTTCTAAGAGAAATGTAGAGCCCATTTTGAAAAGAACAATGCTCATTACTGCTTTCTGAGGATTGAAACAGTGTGAAGGCTTGTCCCTGAGTCAAATTAGCATAGAATATTCTGTATTTGCTCGTTCTTACCTAAGAATCTGAAGATACTATACTGAGCTGGAGCTTTCTAAAGACTGCATTGACCTTGACACATGACAAAACAAGATGAATTAATTATATTTTATAAATCTTTTAAAGTAGGGCTATTTAAAGTTTAGCAACTCTCATTAGAAAAAGTTTGTTTGAAATCTTTGGAAAAGAAAGGAACCATTTTTCTGTCTCTTTAATAGAAATGCTTAGAGATAAGCATAGTATTTAAAACTTTGGGATTCATAAAATCGTGTTCAACAGCATTTTTAGACAAGGTATTAAGAATACTTTAAAGTGTTTGTCTACGGCATTAATTTTAATTATACTCCACTGGACTCACAATGCTTTGAAATGCTTTATAAAATGCCCCCAAGATCTTTTATTAATCATAATTAGAAGCACCACCAAATTCAAAAGCTAATGTTTCTAACTCTGGGTAGCATCAGCTTGCCTATGAGCACCCTCTTCTGTTTCAAGAGTGTACTGCAAATTACATTCCATGAAATTTACAATGCTGGGTCTCAGGAAAATGTCAACACACACAATCATGTTGTTTAAATAAACCACCCTTCCCTCTGAAGTTTGGAAGGCTGTGCCGGTGCACATACATGAAGGGGAAGTAGCACACCTCAAAGTGTAATGGTGAGTTGCCCTTCTTCCCCAGGAAATCTCATGGAAATAACTTTAAACTTTTAAAACATGAGGCAATTAATCTAATCAGTTTTCCTTTTCTTTATAGATGGAACCTAATTTTAAAGGCACAATATTACCTGCAGCTTTTATCTATGGTATTTTTTTTTGACTCAACTATTTGCTTCCTGACCAGCAATTCTATCTTGCTTTAAAAATTAATTACAGTCTAATTCATATTTCAATGCCAGTTTTAAGCAGGAACTTACTAATACACTTGTAACAAGACAAATCCTTGTTTCATATAACCCAGAGAAATATGCAGGTCATTAGGTTGGGCCCCATGAAATTGCCATCAAGAGTGGTAGATAATGGCAGCTGCATGTGGTTCAACGGAATACACATAGCCATACGTTTTAGGACCCTGGCTAAGGGCACGCACGAAAACATCCTTGAAATGGAGTAGCTGTAGAGAATGGGGAGGGTCTAGGAAAGACAACCTCAAAATCTACCTTGTGTCTACACGAAGTGGGAAGGGCAGTCTAGCTAGAATTGAGACAAAACAGAAAAGAATTGATTGATGGGGTTTTGAGGAATGTTGTTACTAATATTGTCAGTTTATGTCATTAATCCTTTTGTTGTTAATGAAGAACTAGAGGCAAGTCTCGTTAATGCCAGCAGTGGCTAAAACAGTGCTTAATGATCTGGCCTCTATAAAGTGCTGATGCAGTTTTGAAATACTAATTTTAATAGCTAAATAAAAATTTAATTTCAATATGAGGCTATTTCCTATAAAAAGTGAGGTGGAGAGGTTGTTAGGTTGTTTTTTTTATCAGCACTGATTTATCTTCATATCTATCTATTATGGCCCTCCCTCACCCCCCTTCCCCATCCGCATACCCACCTGAAATATATTCTGTACAATTATATAAAACTAATTTTCTAAACTTCAAAAACTTTGCTTTTAAATGCACATTAATTCTAAAGCACTGCTATGCAAGCTGCCAACGTTTGAAAATTCCATGGAATTCTCCCATGGACAAAGTTTGTCCTGTTATCAGGAAAAATTGTGAAAGATTTTGAATAATAGAAGTCCTGTCTAGCTCATTCGTCCAGGTTATGAACGCCTTTCATTGTCTTGGAGTAATTTTACAACTCCGTAAGTTGTAGAAAACTGATAATAATCACATGATCCTTGTCCAGAGAAATACCAATTAATCATGTTACGGTAGGAGGAATTATTGACTATTGTCTGTACATAGATCCATTTTGCATCTATTTGCAAATTTATTTCAGAATTCTTCACTTCCTATATATGTCTCTGCTCTTTGAAGAATTCTCCTTGGAACTGGTTATAACATCTTACCAGTTCCCTCATTAATGAGTTAACGAGTTAAATGAAATCTTACGCACATAGTCATCTCATACCTTTATGAGTCATGATTATACCTTATTTTTAAAATCATCCTTTATAACATCATCAACTATAGTGTCATTTTTCCAGGATGTGCCATGTTCACTGACTCCTTAACAGTGAAGCTACGTACATATGCCTGACAGAGAGTCAATTGTTTAAGGTTGTTGAAATTGATTTCATACCTTGAAAAATATTGCCCCAGGCCTTGCAAAAGAAGATATAAATCCACAGCAAGAATCATTTGAAATACATCTTTAATTTTAGAAAAATCAATATGTAATCTACAAAATATTTTGTTACATGATTATTAAGGCTCAATCTGTTTCATATTTGTATTGACAGGACATAAAATCATATTTAGAGTAAAACATTATAACAGCCATTGTTAAGGAAGACCTCCCAACTGAATTTATAATAAACGAGGCTGTATCATAAGCACAGATCCAGAATGAAGGGAACTAAATCCTAGAACAGTCTAATATATACAACAAGTAGAAAATTCCAGCCTTTATTTATGTGCTAGAAAGTATCCTTTTTTCATACCTTTGTTAATGGATAAACTGTTGTAATTCCCATAGAAAAAGGAAATGTCCTTAAATTCAGATCTGCACAGTTGATCATTACATGATCAACCCAAGAATTCATTTACACAGTTAATATGATCCTGTAACTGGAAAGGTGACCAACCAAAACAATTACTGCAGAACAACTAGTCATGAACTGGTAAACTCCTTGGAAATATGCTAATTTGACTCCAAAATGGTCAAACTCATAAAGGAGTGATCAAAATTAAAATGCTAGAAAAGGAGTATTCTCTCCTTTACTCCCTTTCTTCCTTCCTTACCTCCTTCCAAAGTAGGAGTTTTTTTGAAGATCACTATTCTGGCAAAGGAGATTCTACTTCTCAATTTGTAAGTCTAAATGGATCCTACCTGATTTTTCACTTAGAGCTCTGTAGTCACATTTGACCTCCTGCCATTTCTGAGGTCAGAAGAATTGTATTAAAAAGCCTCTCCTCTCTACACAGAATGTTAATTTAACACTAAGTAATGAATATTTAAGGATCCTAATAGATGTGCAAATTAACAATTATGCGGTAGCCCCCTGCTGTTAATGCTATCAACCTTTGCTGCAGAAACTCCATTTGAGCTCTCAGTCTTTTGTTATTATATTTTCAACACTGACTCCTGAGATGCTCCTGAAGGCTGGGTGGCTTATGAGTAAATGACCCTAGCAGGGAGGTACCCACAGATACTTAGTCAACGTGTGAAACATGAGGGGCAATTAACAGAACACTTTGCTGAATTTATTTTGAAGTGTAAATATTCATTAAGTTCATCTGAATCAGATTGTGAGTTCTTTATGGGCAGGATGCCTTAAAACAGATCCAGAAAGGAATGGCAGTCATTAACCCAGCTAACTTCATGGGGATTGTGGTGCAGCTTCAGATTCAGCCGCCTCCGTACCGGTTCTGAGCAGATTGAAGTCACTCCAGAGTGTGCCCACACCAGATGATAAGGAAAGACAGTGGAATTTTTTAAAAATGACATACACACACAGATTTGCCCTCCTATAGATCAACAGTGAATCTCAAGCATATGATATTATGAGCAATGCATCAAGTGAAGTTAAAAAGAGCAATACCAATTCATTTTAACCAGCAACTTTTGCATTCTTCGCCCTTTACAGTAAAATAATGAAAAGCAATAAAATCTGCCGATGGATACGGACCACCATAAATGTTTGTTTTAATCTGTTTTTAGACAGATTTAAATGAATGTAATACAACATTAAATAAAACGTAAGAAATAAACTCTGTAGGCCAACAAATAAATGTTGTTTGGAAGAACATTATATCAGTTTTGACTCAAAACAAATCTGGCAAATAGAGAAAAATATCTCCTAATTATATTTGAGATTCAACATAAATTGAAGGTGTATTAATACCACATGGAGGAGTTTGTTTCTCAGATTAAAAAATGCCTAGAATATAGACGTCATAAATTTTAAGATTCTGAATTTCATTGTAAATACTAAAAGGAGATTAAAAGCAGTGTTATAATAGCTAATGCCACTGACTTTTCATTAGGAACCAAACTATTATAGTCATTTACCTGACTTTGAAGAATAAAAATGTTGCCTCTTAGAAATCTAAGTAAAATAATCTAGTATTTTTCACTTTGCTCATCTTTTAAAGAAAAAATATTCTAAATTAAGCAGAATTAGCATAAAATAGCATTATAGCAGAACTAGCATAAAATAATAATAATACTGTTTAGACTTTACTCAAGAGAGGCTTGAGTTCATTACAACTAATACTTTATCAAAACACATTTTCAGAATCTGTACTTTTAGAAAACAATATTCACAAACTGTAAAAATTCACCTTTAATGTACATAAATATTTTAACTAGTGTCCAATACTCAGATTCCGTTTTGAAAAAAATTCTGCCAAGCAAAAGGAAATACATCTTAGTGACTTGTACTAAAATATGTATGTCGACAGAAATAGCTTCTTTGCAGCACATACCAGAATACAAACTTATTTTGAAAATGAGAATACAGTGGGGGAAAGACAGGTACCAAATACAGCCAATGATTGCTCAACATGTGGTAAGAGGACAGGAAGATAAATAATTCAGAACTACAGATACTTCCAGACCTCCATTTTAGCTTGTGGTTTCAACATCATTCTACAGGTAGCCACATTTCAGAAGTGAGCAAGAGGGAAAATGAAGTATTTTGGTTAATGTGTCCTTTGATTGCCTTACCCTCTGCTACAGGTGCTAACACAGCAAGAAGAGATCGGAACAATAAACATGGCACCTAGGTAATCCAGGGTGCGAAAGAATCTACCCACTGAGTAATCAAAAATTGAAAGCCCTTTAGCCAAAAAGGGCTGCCAGGTCATACAACAAGTAACAGTGCCTTTGAGTTTGAGTTTCAATAGAAAGCAAAACTTCACACAAATTATAGACACATTTTAGATCAAAATCCTAGGGCAAAAACGTATCAAAAGCATAAAATACAAATTGTTTGGGTTTAGGTCTAAACTTCTCTAAACACGGTCAGCGGACCTGTCCTAAGCCCATTATTCAGATGTCATTTCCGCTATACAGTAGCAGACCTTGGTGTGGTTTTGTGAATTACATATTTGACAAGGGGGAGGTCATCATTTACTCTTGCTACTCCTACTGAGTTACACAGTCGCCAACTTTATCTGGGTCTTCTCCATCGATGGTAATCCACTTCTTTTCTATTTCGACCTGTTATGCAAAAGCAAAACATAGGCAATATTAACAAATGCAACACAGAACTCACTTCTCTTCAGTCCTGTTTCATATATGAGGACTGTTGCCACCTCACCCTTTGGACACAGACATAGCCCTCCACCTCCTATAGTAGCTCCCGAGTGAGCATCTCTGCTCTCCTTGTGGGCAACAGAGCCCTCCCAAATCCTCCTGTCCAGGGCCAAATCTCGAAGAGGACTGAAACTCTCTTCACCTCTAAGTCAAACGTCGCTTTTGTAAAATCTACACAGAATACTCATGTTGATAAGACATTTGCAGATCTGGCTAGACATGTGATCAATTCCCCCCAAGTATCATATATCCAGCCAGATTTATAACACACTCAAAATTAGCTCACTAACTAAAACAAACTAGTTTACAAACTAGCAAACCAGCTGGGCCAAACCATCTGTCTTCCCTTCACATCATTTTTGTCTCAGCTCAAATGTCACCTCCTCATGGAGGTCCTCCAGGACTACTTTAGATAAAGAAGCCCTCTGTCACTGTCTGTCCTGTTGTTTTATTTTATTCTCTTCTTAGAATTTGTGGGCTAGGCATGGTAGTTCACGCCTGTAATCCCAGCACTTTGGTAGGCTGTGGTGGGAGGATCGCTTGAGGCTAAGCGTTCAAGACCAGCCTGAGCAACATAGAGAGACCCCATCTCTACGAAAAAAGTTTTTTAAAAACTAGCCAGGCATAGTGGTGCATATCTATAGCCCCAGCAACTTGGGAGGCTGAGGCAGGAGGATCTCTTGAGCCCAGGAGTTTGAGGTTACAGTGAGCCATGATTGCTCCACTGCATTCCACATTCCAGCCTGGGCTCATAGCAAGACCCTGTCTCAAAAAAAAAAAAAAGAATTTGTCATTTGTTGAAATTATGTTATTTATTTGTTTACTAATTATTTTTTGTTTCCTCCCACTAGAAGGTATACTGCATGAGGACAGGGACCTTGTCTCTCTGTTCACTGCTGCATCCCCACATGCAGACCAGTACCTGGCACTTTGGAACTGCTCAACAGATACTCATTAAATGGAAGAAAACATTTTGAAACTGCCATCAGGTGTAGATCAACTTGCAAATACTATTAAAGCTGAAGGTACTTTGGTAATTTTGAGTCATCCACTAAAACTACAAGAAACTGGCATCTTCTGTGAATAGGAGAATTGGAATAAATGCAGTCTCCATATGCACCTGACTCACATCTCAGTGGCACATAATACTTAGATACCTAGTGTTATAGGTCAGGTTCCCCAAGAAGCAGACTCTTGAGATGGAGCTTTGTGTGCAGAGTTTACTGGGCAGTGCTGTTGGGGTCAACACCCATGGAGGAAGGAAGCAGAAGGGGCTGAGAGAGAAGCTGGGCTGCAAAGCAGTGGTAACCAAGGCTTCAGCCAACGCCCTGCCCCGGGAGAGCTGACGCTGGGCTGGCCCTGCAGGTAGCCCAGGTTGATGCAAAGGGGCATTACACCGCTGCATCTACCCAGCAGTGGACACAAGCTGACCCAGGAAGGGGGCATGACCTCAGGCAAGGCAGCTGTCTTCAGCCAGAGCAATTCCCAGCTGCTAGGGGAATAAGTCCTTCAGCTGAAGGGGCTGCACGGAACAGCATGTACCCATCGCGACTTTTATCAATAGAAAAACGTCACTGACCCGAACATATCGACTTCTAAACAGATGGGCCAAAATAAAGAAAAATCCTACAGTATAGGAACATCAGTTGGTATTAATGAAGTCTTATAAAATATCACTATTTTTAATAGGAATAAATGAGTAGAAAATCAGAATGGCATTGATCATAGCTGAGAGTCAAGCAATACATAGATTTTAAAATGCTATTAAAAAGTATAGAATGTCATTCCTGTGAAAGTCGAAAAGGAAACATACAAATTCTAAACTGAACCACCTGTTTGTTGTGTGCTGTTTAATTGTGCTGATTTTTTAAATACTTTCTAGTTAAAAAAAAATACTCTTAAACAAAGCCAGCAACCCATGTCACCATTGCAAGATAGCAGGGGAAATATGTGGCAGAGGTTATCCACGTATCTACTAACCTTGAAGATAAGAAGGAAAAACAAGTTTAGAAACAGATGTAAGTGCATGCTGCTCTTTAATTCATCTGGCCCAAGAATGCAGAAGAGCTGATGGTGAACATTCAAAACTATTGTCATAGAGTCACTCAGCATTTCCAAAAGAGTACTCCAAATACTACTATTCCACAAGATACTGACAGGCATTCTACATACACACACCCACACAGGCAAGATTCCATAGCCAATGAGTTGGGAAAAACTGGATTAAGTAAGCATAACAAGTTTCTTTATTGCAGGACTTCTCAGAGCCTTCATCTAACATTAACTTAATGTATGGCATTCCCAACTTAGTTTTTTCTTATGTTATTATATGGGACAGATGTTTCACAGAACACATTTTGGGAAACGGTCTTCTAACATCATAATTTTTATTATAAATATGCTTCTAAAATATAAATGTTTTAATGTTCTGTTTTTCATGGAAACCTGAATTATTAGGTATCCCCCACATTCTCTAAAATGATGAGGAAGAACTAAGCTCAATGGTGACCACCAAGTTTCCATAGCTGAGCTCCTCTCTAGGTCAAATATCATCATACACACATAGTCATATAAGAGGGCAAAGCAAATATTTAAAGCCGAATCAGGTCACAGTTCTGGAAGCCCCAACTTGCACCAAGGGGCTCTGAGACGTACCTGGATGTTGTAGCAAGCTCGCTGCTGAACATGTTTCTGTGGCTGGATGTCACTCTCCACCCCCAGAGACCTGACCTCGGTCCTTGAGGCACAGGTGTCAAGCATTGAAAACTGAACAGTAGCAAACGGATACCAATCAGAGGGAATTTCTTGGTCTGATCCAAGTTCTAGTTTGTATGACAGACAATGGGGATGATCAGGACCTTGAAGAAAAAATCAAATAGTCAAAAATATTTCAATGGCCACTGGACATTTCTCCTAAACATAAAAGGCACTCGCTTCTCTCCTTAATAAGCAATTTCATTAACACTATGGCAGTGAGAATTCCATTTAAGCAACATACCATCAAAATCTACCATTTTGCATTAACTGCAGGAAAGCTATCTGCAATTTTAAGTACTAGCTTTAAAAGAAGTATGACTTTATTACTATATATATATACATATATATGCATAGATTAACTCCTAAAAGTGTTTTTAATTAGAAATATTACTAAATTTTCTTTAATTAAAAGATAGGAGTAATATTTATATTCAACATACTTATTTGGCTACAGTTTGCTTAGGACTTGTAGAAACCACTTTCTCTTAAATAGACTGAATAAGCTCTTATAATAATTCTTAATTTATTCATTTTATAATGTGAAAGTAAACTTCAGCCCAGATTAGGTCATATTATTTAAAAAGTCTGATTTTTAAAAGTTGGTGAAATTTTATTACATTTCAGAAAATATTCCAGGCCAACAATTTTTTTCAGTAGAACAGATTATTTTTCACTACTGCAATTCTCACTTATCCTTCTGAAACGCTTTGACTGGAACAGATGTACAATGTGGAAACCGACATATTTCAATATTTCCGTCTAATATTTATTTTCACTCAATGCAATTTGTCATTTATTGAGCATCAGCACTATGCCAGGCTGGGCTCTGTGCCAGAACCAAGGATATTAGATATGCTCAAAGATTTCAGATGGGGGACATATAGTGTGTGTGTGTGTGCGTGTGTGTGTGTGTGTGTTATAATGGAATAAAAAATATTTCCACTGTAATCACTGTAGCAACTTTACAAATGTTCTGTGATTCTGTTGCATTGTTCATAACATCTACATATCCAAAGCAGCTGTCTTTACTGAAATAAATGTACGAGACAACAGTAATTTCAAAAGCCAGATTAAATTACTGTACCACCAACATAGCTGGAGAAAGAACATTGCTATCAGAACATAGCTTTAGGCACAAAAACAAGAGTTTAAAGGATTTTACTTAATTCTTAAAAGATAAATTGCCTTTCATTCCCTACACCTGGTTTCTTGTAGAGAGACTAATAGAATTCTAAGGCTATAAAAGGCCTTGAAAAGTCATCAATCAATTAACCAATGGATGCTCATTATCTGTCTCCACACTTACAGCTAGGGCAGGACAACAGTGGCCTCCGAGGTGCTCTAAGCAACCCAGAGCGCCGCAGGCAAGTGATAACTTCATTCACACACACACACATCCACCCACAGAGACTGCACACTCCATTACTCTTTCTAGTCTTCTGTCTGCAGTGAGGATACAGTACATTCATTTACACTTAATTCAGGCCTCTTCAGTCCTGCTATAGCAAAGCAGTTAAAAACACAAACACTAGACCCAGATTGCCCAGAGTCCAATCCCAGCTCTGCTATTTATAGCTATGTTGCTTATCTAAGTCTCAGTTTGTCCATCTTAAAATAAAGGTAATGATGATAACCCAAACTTTATAAAGTCGTGAGAATTAGACAGTTGATACACAATAAAGCCCTGGGCCAGTAGTATTGTATAGTAGTATAGACAGGCTGAACATACGCTATTACTTTGCAAAGCGTTACTCAATTATAAATCCAATATTATTGTTTAATTACTATAATTTTGCTAATAAAGGGGCTGAATTCTCTATGTTTAGAGTTGAAAATGATATTGGAGGTGATCTGATATGCACCTTTTACAGGAAAAAACCTGTTCTCAGAAGTTTTGCAATGAAAATTGGAGGGAAAAAAATTAAATCTGAGTTGAAGACCTTGTACTCCAAAAATGTTAGAAACAAAACATTTCTACCTGCTTGTCTTAAAAACTGGTAAAAGATAAAAGAGAGCATTATTTTTTCCACAAAGAAAAAAAGTGATTTATTTTGTTGAGTTGCTTCGTCAGCTTTTTTATCCACATAAAAAGCAGTTAGACCAAATTCAAAATTGATTGGCAGAGGCAAATGTTGCAGAAAAACAGAACAGAAACACCAGGAGGCTTTAGTTTTGGGGGAAAACAAACATAAAGTACAAAATAACCTGTCCTATAGGAAAAAGTGACACCATTATTTTTTTTTAATTGTTCCTCAATGATTCTGTTGGTAAGAGAAAACGAAATTCTGATCTCATGCTTCTAACATGCAGAATTCTGGTCTTAATCAAGAGTTGCTACGTTTTTATGCCTTTTATTTTTCAGTCGCTTTTAAATTGGGGATAAGGTGAACCAGGTATTTTCCAAAATCCATTCCTATTCAAAACACGATATTCACGCAGCCTGGCATTACCCCTGCAACACTGGAACTTAATTTCATGTGAATTTAGGGTCCCAAGGGTTGCTGTGGATGGTACCTGCATTCTATGAAATTGGCGCTTCCAAGCCTTTCAGAAAGGAAAGACAGAGGATTGGGCCACCATATAGGACCCAGGGCTGCCACCAAGTGGGCAGGAGACCCACGTTGAAACCACACCAGTGTGTGGAAAGTTTTTACTGTCGACCTGTAGGGGGCCTGTTTGGAGGAGGGGCTCAGGAGCAAGCAGTCACCCTGGGTAAGATCTGTGGGCGCTAAAGACCTAGATTAAGCCTCCACTATATTAACTAGCTGAAAACAGATAAACACAGTGAGCACAGACTAACAGGTGTTGAGACGTTGCTAAACCTAGTGCATTTGAGTGGCCTTGTCTGGCATTTCTCACCAGCAGAGCTAAAGGATTTCTATCATGACTGGAAAACCAGTAGTGTTATCAGGTACTAAACGTCTTATTTCAGAGCTCACTTAATCTTCTGGGCAGCAAAGTACAAATATAAAATAGCTTTAAAAGAGAGCATTTTTCCTTTCAAGTTTTCTGGTGTATTTTTCCTGGCATTTGGAAACTCTAAATAGTCCACAGTATTAATAATACACAGTCCCTCTTCAGACGTTCAGCTCCATAAGAACAAGTATCATATCTGTCTCTAGCACAACGTCTGACACATTTGAGGCTTAGCACGCATTTGTCAAATTCATGAATAAATGAATTAGAGGAAATTTGTGTTATCTCGGTGCTGACCACTAGGGGGAAATCTCGGGCTTTGGTAATTATTCTCTCGCCCTAACTCCTTTTCTTAGGACAAGGAATGCAAATCACAAAACCTTCTTAGGTCTAGTTGATATCCAGTCCTCCTTGAACCAAAATGTCACATATATGAAACCGAACTGTTGAGGGTTGACGGGTACGAGTGGCAGGAGGATGACACAGGCAGAAGGGAAGAGAACCAGTGTGCTGATGACGGAGGGCAAAGAAAAAGAAAAACTGGGAGGTTAGAGATCAATATAGTTGTTAATTGACCCTCGACCACTTCCATCCCCCTTTCTAATTCTATGCCACATGTATACCTCCTTTGGCTAACCGGCGTCCTCCTTTGTCCTCAATTCTCTTTCTTCCCCTCCCCCAACAAAACCTAAGCCCCCCTGTTGTCACTCAAACCTTAATTTGAATGAAATCTAGGCGCTACCGCCCCAGCCCAAGCTCTGCTGTGCAATGAAAGGCATGCCCACTGCTGAAGGAACACTAAGCACTAACAAGCTACTCTCAGTGTGTTCCTCAGGCCAGCAGCATTGGCATCCCCTGAGCACTGGTTAGAAACAGTGCCCCGGGTCCTACCTGCTGAATCAGAATCTACATTTTAACAAGGTGATTCATGGGCTCGCACAAGTTTGAGAAAGGTTTCCTCTCTACCTCAGCCTCGCTCCTTCCATGCCACTCTCAGGAGAGAAATGAGGCAGTAACCTGCAGGGCTCCCTCTCTCTTTCTGCATCACCCTCCGCAGCCCATAGTGGAGCAGCCTTGGGACAGGGCCCTGCAAGCCCAGAAATGTCCCCAGCCCGCTCGGGGCTGTGCCCTGCCCTGTGGGCTCCACCAGACACAGCCCCATTGCCTTTTCCCTGGGCCTTCTCTTTGCCCACAGACTTGATCTCAACAAAGCAGCTTTGGTCCCAACGGATTGATTCAGTGAATTATCACCGTATAATTGACTGAAATACTTGTGAAACCTTGTTCTGTGTGGGCCTGGTGGTACGACAGTCTTCCAGAAATAATTCCTGAAGGCCCAGATCAAGTCCAACCAGCTTCTCTGGGAATGTCCATTCTTGTAATTATTCTGGGTGAGCTCAACGGCCAGTAAATGCTGATGGGAGGCTTATAACAGAGCTCTAAAAGACACAGCGACACACAGAGCAGAGAGGAATGATGTCTGCCTAGGGACCCTCACAGGTTTCACAGGAGAGTGACCAGGTAGTTAGTTCTCAACCCTGGCTGCGTGGGAGAGCCTTTACAAACACCAGGACCTGCGCCTCTCAAGAGAGTCTGATTGGTAAGCGATTGGGCGTAAACATGGGTAGTTTTTGAGGCTTTAATGACTCTAACCTGCAGCCAGGGCTGGGAAACAGATTTTAAAAGGATGGGTGATGAGAGGATCGCAGGCTGTCTCAGCTAACGGCACCATCGCCCACCTATTTGCCAAAGCCGGAGCCCTGACCCACCCATCCCCTTCCTTTCCCCCATGCCCATAGTCTGTCACTGCCTTGGGGACACCTCTGAATTTCCTCATCCATCCCTCACCTCCCACTGCCACTGCCCTTGCTCAGCACCTCTCACCTCCCCCCAGCCTCCCTGTGTCTATAATCTACTCCTGAATCTCTCCTCCCCACTGCCCTGCATGCCTGCCTTTCGGAAACAAGGTATGATTCTGTCACAGTCGTGCCTGAAAACGCCCTGAGGACAAACTCTACACACACAGCCTGTTCACAGGTCTTCATGCACTGGTTTCTTCCCTCACCACTCTCTCAGTCCCAAAATGTGGGGAGCATCCCCCACCCACAAGCCTGTGGTTCTGCTGTTTCTGTCCTTGATGGAAACCTGCTGATTCTTCCATGCCAGGCTTGACCATCAGCTCTGCAGCAAAGCCTCGCCTGGAACCCAGGTAGTTCACCACCCCTATCTCTGGGATCCCTATATATTTGTATAAGCTTGGAACAGAGCACTTTTCCATAGTGGGTATTTGTGGAGTGAATGAGCAAGCCCTCTTCTCAATAAATTCTTGTTGACTGAATCAGTTCCCTACACCATTAACTCTGGGAAAAATGCAGTGTTATAAACAGGATCATTTTCACAAGAAGCTTTATACATTGCTCCACTTGCAAAATTAGAAAAGATGATTGGTATTTCTCAGTTTGAAGAGTAAGTGAGGTTGCCCTGGCCAGGTCTCCTTCAGGGCCTCCTAGAGCAGCTGCATTCCAGCCTCCTTGCCTTTCTTTCCCTTTTTGTTTAGCAAAATAAAAGCCAATATCCTGATTTTGTTGAACCCCTCTAAGCTAAAAGTAGCACAAATAACTTTTAGAACAGATCATTTGGAACCTTGTACTCAAGATCTCAAAACTCATTTTCATGCCATGCAGATAGCCTGCAAATGGTTACGCTCGCCTCCCCAGCCAAGTTACAGAAGAAGGCAGGAAACACTATCTCTGTCGATTATGTCACGGGAGATACGAATGTCCCCATCGCACTGGAGCTGACCAGGGGTGCTGTCAGAGGCCACCCATTGTGACCGTGCTGCCCGCTGTGACCATCACCACTTCGCCCTGCCCTGCGCCTGAGCTATCCTAACTATTCTGCATGCAGAACACAACTCATGTGAGTCATGGGAACACTGTGGGGTGGATCTTTGCATTAATGAAGAAGACTGTGGGTGTCAGGGAGGACAACAGTGCAGGGACTTCCCTTCTGCCCAGGGGTCTGAGGCTCCTCAGCCCACCAGGCCTGTGTCTCTCACCTGCTGGACCCCGTCTGTGGCTCAAGCTCCAATCAGCTGACAGATGTTAAGTCAGCAAACTGCTAGTCACGGACAAGGTGGTCCCGTGGCCTTCGGGGTGCACTGCCTGCCTCAAGTCCATGGGAGTGGGAGGCTTACTCTTCCCACTCTAGAACATCACAGTGCCTGTGGAGCAGTGTTCCTCACCCCGGCTACACATTAGGTTCACCTGGGGAGCTCTTAAAACATGCTGACACGTGGGCCCCTTCCCCAGAGATTCTGATTTAATTGGCATGGAGTGGAGCCTGAACATCAAGATTATTTAAAAGCTGTGAGGCTATTTTAATACACAATCAATTTTGAAAAATACTGCTATAGGACCACCCCAAATAAAAATGCTTCCTCCGAAGTCCACAGCCTGGAGGGGCCTAAGATGAGCTTAAATTTCCCTGAAGGACTAAAGCAGCTGTGAGTTATTTGGAAACAGGGATCAGATCTCATTCCTCTTTATCCCCAGCACTTGATGGGGTACTCGGTACACAGTAAGTGTTCGTAAAGGATTGGTTAAATAAATGAATGCATCAACTCAGATCCCCCAAACCTGCCCCCCGTTTACCTCTATAGATCTGCTAGAAAAAAACTCAACCAAAACAGGGAACAACTCTAATTTGAAATTTTGCTCTTTTACTTTATTATGCCCACCACTAAGTTACTATTTTAAAAGAAATGTGATACTAGAACCGTCTCTTCAAAGTTCTGAACTCCTAGATTAATTGTTTTCTTAGTAAAATTTTAGAAAAAAATTAACTTGCTTTTAACCCTTAGGTTGTGTCTACCCAATTCTAAAACAACCAGCTGAGATGGTCAAATGGGTAATTCAGTCAAAGAAATCACTTTGATTAAAAATAAAAGGCAGTCGGCTGGGTTGGTGGCTCATGCCTGTAATCTGCCTGTAATCCTAGTACTCTGGGAAGCTGAGGTGGGAGGATCACTTGAGCTCGGCAGTTTGAGACCAGCCTGGGCAAGAGTGAGACTCCATCTCCACTAAAAATAGAAAAAAATTAGCCAGGCGTGGTGGCACGCGCCAGTAGTCCCAGCAACTCGGGAGGTTGAGGCAGGAGGATGGCTTGAGCCCAGGAGTTTGAGGTTGCTGTGAGCTAGGCTGACGCCACGGCACTCACTCTAGCCAAGGCAACAGAGTGAGACTCTGTCTCAAAAAAATAAAAATTAAAAAAATAAAAGTCTTATTTTAAAGAACAAGAGGCAAAACCTAAGGAGGAAGCAAAAAAGCCCAGATATATTCATGGATGACAGATTTTTAAGGGGTAATTAGGGAATCTAATCTATGTTAAAAACATTTTAAGAATTGAGGTTGATGGGTTAATCTCAAGAAGCCCAACCACAGGTGTCTACAAATTTTCCCCCAGTGCCACCAACCACAAAAAATTCCCAGTCAAGGATGGTATTTCTTATAATATTAAAAAAATGTAAAAAGTTAAACTCATCTGGTAGAAATAGGTGCAAGAGGAAACAAATAAACCAGCTGTTTGGCTTAATGTTCCCTCTCCCACCTGTCTATGTAAGTGTGGCCTCAGCTAACAGGTTACCATCTGTCTCTGCCTGGTTTCAACCCAAGGAGGAGGAAGCTGAAAACATTAAAGCTATTTCCCATGAAAATCAAACTGAGGTGTTGAATATTTACTTGAATTTTTGTCTGGAAGCCGGTCTATCTTCCATACCACCGCCCGGTAGGCACTCTCATATTTTGCTGACCCCACAGTGACCTGAATGACAGGTTCAGATTCAGGCTCATGGAAACTGCCCAGACATGCCCGGCGGTTCATTTTGGCTTTCAGGGACTTCTGCCTCTGGAGGTTCATGGTCCAGAGGGCCTTGATCCATTGTGATGGGACAGGAAAGCATATCATTACATTCTCACAGGACCTCAAGGAACCAGTGTGGGATGGCCTCTGAGCCAACGGGGCCATGTTGACGAAGGCCTGAAGTTCCACATATGCCCCCTGGACAACCACTACAGACTTCACAGAAAATGGAAGGTCATCCCCATGATACAAAGTCTTAAAACGCATCAGCTCAAACCGGCAGGCATCCAGGGGTACAAACTTGATGATCCTTGATTGTTCAAATTCTTGTACTTTCACACACTTGTGAAAATGGTAGTCGAGAATATCGATCCCCTTCTTTTCTGGGTCTTTTTCAAAATAGCATGCATCTCGCTTCTGCAGCTCAAGGTCATTCAAGGTTAAAAAACATTCCATGTTCCCATTCACGAAGCAGAGGCAACAGATTTGAGTCATCACAGCACTTTCAACCAATTTTCCTTCTTCTTTTGTGACTTTACCCCAAAAGTTGTCCACAATTTCCAAGGAAATTTCTTGCTCCTCGTAGTTCTTTTTTGGTTTTGAAACAGCTGGCAGCTTCACCAGCTCCTCCTCCACAGTAGTCAGAAAGTCGAGGAAGTCGTGGTACTCCGTGGACCCTAACTTCAGCATCTGTTCTATGTCTGGCTCACGAACTACTTCTGTCTTAGAATGGTATTTCCTTTTTTCTGTGTAAGACACATGTTCAATCTTCACAGTATGGATTTTTCCTGCCACACTAAAGTTCTCAACTTTGGGTTCAGAAAGCCTGCAATGTGGATCAAGCTGTAACTCTTTAAATGGTTTCTCTAATCCCTGCTCATAATACATTTGCAAAATTCCTCCAGGTAAAACTTTCAGAAAAATTGGTCCCCATTGCCGGGAAGACATCATGTTCTTCTTCTCTGGAATTCTCAGCATGAAAGACCATCCAGCTTTTGGCTGACTCCTAAAGAGTGCATGGGGGACAAAGGAAGAGACAGTGTCTTCAGCACACAGACATTGCGTAGACAGGTTTCCAAGTGGGTCTTGGTTCTCAGCTGACTGTAGATGTTCAAGCTTCTCACAGATATAGTTGAGTGAACATTTATTTAGACTTTTTTGATCAATTGGTATCTCCTTGTCTCTTGATGAGAATATCTTTCTGCTTCCTGGGGGGTCAAAGGTGAACTGGGAAGCACTGCTTTCATCTTTCCAAAATGGACTTGAAAAAGCCCAGTCTTCCCGAAAATACTGAAACTGGGGAGCATCATCACTTTGGAAGCCTCGGCTTTCAGCCTGGTGAGGGCTGATTTCATTTGAATGACTAGTACATGACTGGTCATTGGGTAAGAAAGCATGGGATAAGCAGGTAGGTTTAGTAGGTGGTAAGGAGGAACCTACTCCTGGTGTTGTGAGTGGGCTGTTTGAAGATAATTCTGGAATAGGATAAAGCACATGAGTCCCTGCTTTGGGGATGCCAGGAATACCTGGGAAGTCTTTGGTAGGTGTAGAAAGAGGAGAGTTACTTGGAGGTCCTGGACTGAAGTAAAAATCTACAATGGGAGAGGAGAGAGGGGTGCTGCTGGTAGATGAAGATCCACTGGGCAATTCCTTGAGGCCAGAAAGGTTCAGCTTAAGTCCATTTGGTCTACAGACACCTTGATTGTCCAGAGGCAAATTCTTTGACTTTTGAGAAGACTGGAAAGCAGGATCATCATCAAAGGTGACCCAGTTGCCTGGGTTTGTGGAGCACATCTTTGGGATCAGATTGTGGTCTTGTCAAGGAATCAAATATGTTGTCTCTGTTAAAGAAGAAAGAGAAAATAGGAGTATAAAATGAAGAGAAAAAACAAGTTACTAGAGGTCTTTAGTTCTGAGAGATACTTAGATTTAAAAGCATCCAGATGTACAGATTAACTGAGTTCAAAGAAATGCTTAAAAACTTGACCCTTTTGATGGCTGAGTGGATAAAAAAAAAAAAAGGAAACAAGACCCAACTATATGCTGTCTACAAGAGACTCAGTTTAGATTTAAGGACACACATAGGCTGAAAGTGAAAGGTATCCTTGCAAATGGATACCAAAAGAG